TATTTTATATAAAATATATATATATACATGTATATGTATATAAATTCTCTTTTCATGGCTACGAGAGAATAGTAGAACGAATGATAAGAACAAGTAAATAGAAAGAAAAGAAGGTGATGGAGAAAAAGGAAGAAGAACAGTAAGGAAGGATGCAGTTGAAGAGGTTGAAAAGACGAGAAACGCTGGAGTTCGGGGCTTCAGGGTTGGGATTCGGGGGTTGGGGAAACTGGTGGTAAAGAAAGAGAACAAAGGGACGTTGACTGACAAGACAATGGATCAGCGCGCGCATAATCATTTACTATATATATATATATCTATCTATCTTTCTCGCTCGGTGAGATAAGAATCAATGATTCTTTGAAAGAAATGGATTATTAATCTTAGGATCCAATTTGAAATTTCAAATCACTTTGTTTTTTTTTCTTTTTCTTTTTTTTTTTTTTTTACTCCCCCGTTATGCTTTTGTTTCTCTTTCCTTTCTTTTTTTTTTCTTTTTTTTTTTAATTCTAAACGAAGTTCCTGGTTATAGTTCCTGTGTCAAGATAAACGTCATCGGGGAAGGATCGATGTGTTGGTAGGTTCGTTGGTTGGTGGGGTTGGTTGGTTAATCGTTTGCCTTCCACGTCGATCGCAAAAGGAAGATAGTCCTGCGTTTGGATCGATGTTAGGAGACATTGATACGCTAATATACGGACGCGACATCGCGTGCCGTTTATAATGCATAACCTAGTAGAAAACGCTATTTCGCATGATATCGCCACGACAACGTCTTGCCTCTTAGCTGTATAAATGGGGCCACAATATTCGATGATTACACGCTGCGTCATATGGAAAACGAGAGAGAGAGAGAGAGAGAGAGTCTCCTTCTGTATTGAAAAAGTGTACATCGGAATTTTGAATATTGTTAATATTATTATATTTACGTGTTTTATATCTCATAGATTTATCTGGGAATATGAATTTTGAATGAGGGGAATACCAAGACTGAAGTATTATTTAATGTATACTAATGGGGTTTGTTTTTTATTAAAACGGGATACGGTGTTTGAATTAAATGATAATTAAGTATACATCAGGATGTTTAACATTAATCTTAGATTTAACATGGAATATAATGAATTTTGATAATTTAAGGAAGATTCAAATATTTTATTTTGTGTATGTGTATGTATTTTCTGGTTTAAAATGGTACATGTTGTAATTAAATGATAGAACAAAAGATATTCTATAGATTAAATACCAAAAGCTCTATTTTCAAAAGAGAAAGAGATATTATCTGATTTGTAATAAAGTTTTCCTCTTTAATGCGACCCCTGTCTTCGAGAGTTTCGATTGTTCTTCTTTAACGTAAGACCCAAGTGACCTATCTCAATATGTCCTCGAGAGATAATGGTACTCTCAAGAATTTATATAGACGAGATTATATAGCCGTTCTTAGAAGAATTAGACCGACCTAAAAGATATGTGCCAAAGGCGCATTGGCGCGAGCCAATTTTTTTTTACGATCATTTTATAATATAATATATTATTAACGTTGAAAATGATTCCGTGATTTTTCAAATATGTCCAAACTTGACTTGTCGTATAATTTTGAATTAGAAAAATTAGAAATAATATTCAAGTTCTGTACCGTAATCATGAGAATCAATTTAGATAATTATTTATGTATGTAATCTTAAAATATTTTAAGATAAAAAAAGCAAAGTAATTTAAAATATACATTACAAATATAAAACTGCAACGTGTAACAACAACAACAACAACAATAAGAAGAATAATCAACAAATTAGTGTAAAACAATAAATTACCTTTTGACAAATAATATTTAAGTATAGAAAAATAATAAAAATTAAACTGAATTGACAATTCTCTAGGAGAAGCGTTTGTTAAAGTTTAATAAACAAAAGACTTGGAATAGCTTATTCAGGTATTTTCAAAAGAGATTCACAAGGGATGGACCGTTGATGAGATCGGAGGATCACGATGGCCTGAAGCATCGGGGGTTCTACTCAGTTTAAGAGGAAAAGGGACGAAGAATGAGGAGAGTGGACAAGGGCCGACGGATTCCAAGTCCTCGAAACCATCTCGAGACGACTGCTCGAGCACTCTCCGTTGCCTTCGTTTATCTTTGTCTAACTGTTTGTTCAACCACAAAGACAGACCATTTACTATAACGAGGAAGACGAAAGTTTAAGAGTAGAAAAGCTCTTAGCGCATGCAAAAGGTTACGATGATGACACGACACCGTTCAGCTTACCGCCTAGTTTTGTTTTTTCTAACTTATCTCTATATTTTTTTTATTTATTTCTTTCTTTATCTTTTTCTTTTCCTTTCTATTGTGTTCTTTCTGTCTCTCTTTCGTTGGTATATATATAGTTTTATTTTTTTTCTGATTGCTAGATAAATCGTTCTTGTCTTTTTAACGTTGTATTCGTTAATCCTTTTTTTCTAATTTTTCTTTTTTCTTCTCTACCCTTATTAAAACTAACAAGCAATAGGATTATTTCATTCTTTATTATCATCTTTTCTTTTTCTATCAAATATTATTCATCGATATTTGAAATAACTTCAATAGAATTTGATTTTATAATATGGAAGGGGAAAGATAAAATAAATAAAAATATAATACAAGTATACATCAGGTTAGAGCTTTTAATAATTAATGATAACTATTAGAACTATATAATATATCGGTACGTACTCGATATCAATTTGTGATCCTAATTGCAATTCTTGCCGCAAATTTTAACTCAATTACAATAGACCGATGAGTTTATTTAAACAACAAAAAAACGAATAAAATATTAATTAATACGTGTTCATTTAGTTGACTCAAATTTTGATACAAAATGTCTTGGAAAAATAAAACTACTGATCGGAGTAAATAGAAGTGAAAATAAAACGTAAAAAAAAAAGTTGTCCCTATATATCCACCTACCAACCAACCAACCAACCAACCAGTATTTCTCTTTCGCACGTTCACGAGAAAATCGGTTTTAAAGGTAAAATGTCGAATCTAACTCGATCGCGTGTTCATTCGGTTGAGTTAAACGTTCGCTCGGGGTGCGGGGAGGGGTGGGAAATGTCTTTGGTTGGGAAAAGAGAGAGAGAGAGAGAGAGAGAGAGAGAGAGAGAGAGAGAGAGAGAGAATCGTGTTCCTAACCTCAAAATTGTCTTTTCCCGTTTACCGACATCTCCTAGTGGAATACTAGGGAGTTTCGAACGAATAGGAAAAGCAAAAAGGGTAGCGAGCGTGGGAGGTTGTTGGGGTGGGTGTAAAAGGTGGTGGGAAGGTAACAGACGGGGTAAGGAGGTATTCCGTGGGATGCAATTTATCCTGTCGCATTAGATTCAAAATAATTGATCCCCCGGGCGGCCGGAGAATAGCGAGTCATTACTTCAGGACTGATGGGAACCCCCATCGCGAAACCGGGCCTGAGGAAAATAAAAAACTCACGGAGATCACTTGCTCTCGATGAAAAATTTGACGGGCTAGCCGTACTGGCAAGTAGAGGGGTAAAAAGAGAGAAAAAAAAAAAGACAGAAGAAAAGAAAAACTGTTAGAAAATGGAACAGAAAAGGAAATAAGAAAGTAGAGAAGGATAGAAGAAGAAGAAGAAGAAGAAGAAGAAGAAGAAACCTTCAGATCTCTTCCTTCCGGGAGAATGAGTTTCTCGTAGTTGCAACAGCGGCAAATTTGCTCGAAAGAAAAATATCGTTCGACTTTCATCCCCGTGCTCGTACTCGTCCTACTCCTACTACTCCAACTACTTCTACTCCTATCGTTTCGTTTCGTTTCGTTTCGTTTCGTTCTCTTTTCTTAGACATTCTATTCGTTTTTAGTTGAGATTTCATGATCGGAAGGACAATTCTTTTCTAACCAAATCGTTCGTCTTTTCTTATTATTATTATGCTCTAATAAAAATATACTTTTCATGATATATGATTTATTGGGTGTATTGCTATTTAAATAATAATATATATTATAAAACTCGAAATATATATTTGCATCTAACAATATAAAGAAATAATCCTTAAAAGTTTCTTGAACCCTGAATATAAATTATTCTATGTTAGATTTTCTTTTTCAAGATATTCTTTGCATACAAATTCTGATATTTGATTAACGAAGGATCTACGATATTTGTTGTAGTTTGGTTCGAGGTCAAGAAGAATATTTTTTTAGGTTCCAGGCAGGAAAACCCAAAAGTTTGTTGATACGTAAACATATTTGGATATCGATTATTTCAACTATGGTATACTCATGGTATATATGTTACCGTCAAAGCCGAAACTCTCCAAAAAGTCTTATTTCCAACTTCGTCTGAAGGCTCTTTGCATTCATAGTAATTCCGAGAAATTACTAGCAATGAGTGAATTTTTGTCTTTGACGGCAACATATACATACATACATATATATATAAAAAATTAAATACATACGTATTTCCAAGGAACAGACGTCAGGTCTCAGTAGTAGAAGGAGCGCGCAAAAGCTGAGAATCATCGTCGGACGATCGTTCTTCATGTTTTCCGACGGTAGCAGTGGCCTCGTGAGAGCGTAGAACAACCGACTGAAATAAAGAAACAAAAAAAAAAGAAAACTTAACAAGACGATAACCAGCATCTTAAATTTATGTCGTTACGGGTTTGCCGTTCGTAAAATGTTTTCCTTTCTCGTAGAGTATCGCGTCGAGGGTGAAGAAAGATAAATAAATTAATAAATAAATAAATAAATAAATAAATAAAAGGGAAAAATTGGGAGTCGAAAGCTTAGCGCGTTGTAAAATTAAAGATAAAAATGAGCACGATTCGTTGTCGGTTACTCGTTCTGAGAGAAATACTTGAAGTAATAATACGCAAACGGTCGGAAAACGATTCTCTTTCTATTTTCTCCCTCCCTCCCTCCCTTCCCCGCTTTCCATTTGCCTCACCCGTTCTTTCTTTTACTCTCTCTCTCTCTCTCCTTTCTTGAAATTGTCAAGTTCTCGTAAGGAAAGAATTTTTACGAGAGAGAGACTTATTGTCCTATAAAATATTACGTTCCGGCATAGCAAACTGTTACAGACAATTACCATAATTTTTTAATCGTCCTAAGTACGAGTCTCGACAGTCGTTCACAATATCATCATCATCATCATTATCATCATCATCATCATCATTCCCCCTTTTGTACAATGAAACAAACGATATATTTCGTTCGGCGTAAATTGTTACGACTACTTGAGATCTTTTTTCGTGAGATATAATATTAAGTCTGACTATCTCATTTCGTTTAATTTTACTTTTTCCATCTTATATATATACATATTTTTTTCCTCCTTCCCCTTCTCCCCATGAAAAGAACAAAACTGTATAGTTATATCAATTATAAGGTGAATCAAAATTTGCGTTGTTTCATATAGTGGAATCCTTTTGTCAAAGCTAATAAAATTCAATGTAAATGACATGTTAATTTATAAAAAAAAAAAAAACTTACGAATTTCTCGATTCACAATCCTAATATTATCTCGTTTAATTCTTTTATTATTTTAGATATATATATATATCCTATATATAGGTCAGAGAGGATAGATGTGAATTATTTACATTGTAATAATATAATATAAGATACGAGAGTATATATTCGGATAATCAGTAAAATATTATTTTCCAAAATTCGTATCGCGTATATAAAACAGTTGAAATGGGGTTTGGCGGGGGGTCAGGTGGAGTGGGAAGGGGGACGGGGAGGATTTGAAAACATGGATAATTTTCATAGTGGATAAAATCAACGTAAAATCCAACATCGAGATAGAGAGGCCAGCGATTTCGAGTAGTTGAGAAAATAAAGTAAAAGCCGAGGAGTAGTACCTTAGAGATAGCAGGAAAAGAGTGGGAGTGGGAGAATGGGAGAGAGATAGAGATAGAAATAGTAGAGTTGGATATAGAGGATGGGAAAGAAAGGGTCACGAGGGTGCTATGTTGGCCTAATTGGACGGAGACTCGATTACGAGTAGGTCTTTTCGTGTTTCTTTAGGCGACACACGTAGTATATACTAACACGTAGAACAGAGTATACGAACTATCGAAGGCTGACCCCCGGTCCTCCGGTTTCTTTGCCAAGAAAAAGGGACGTTCCCGACGTGGTAGTTTTGCACTTAAGTCGATTAAGCTCTTTTTAAAATCCCCCACCATTTTTGCTTTGGCATACTCTCCTCCCTCGAGTAAGAGAAAATAGGGTGGGATGGTTACGCCTTTTCATTGGTAGAAAACGTGTCGTTCATTTACTAGTTATTTCTTTACTAGTTACTATTTATTATACTATGCTAAACAGAAATTTAGTTCTACATAAGTGGAGAATCATCTCTTTGATTGTACGATGCACACACACAATTATCTTTTTTTTTTTATTTTACAACACGGGTAATGTTAATTTATAAGATATTACCGATTGTTAACATATTATGTTCGCGATTGGGATTATGTAAATTTTTGATTTTAATTATAATATCATCGCGACTAAATACGATGCAACCCTGTATTCATCGTCATATATAAATATGCACATATTACGAGTTTGCTGAAATTTTGAAATATACCCTTTTTTTTTATTTTTTTTTATTTTTGGTATGTCAGATAATAAAAATAAAAAAAACCAATCCGACTCTTTCTCTCTTTCTCTGTCTCGTCGGGAGAGAATATTTGAATTTTATTCATTGGGCAGGTTTTATAAAAAAATGCTCTTAATTATCGTAGCTTAATATATATATATATAATATACTTGTTTATTCGGAAGAGAAGAATATTTCATCGAACGAAAAAGCATTTTAATTAAACATTTTAACTTTGAACAATTCCCAACGTCTGTTCCATTTAATTGTCGAGAGGAAAGACATAATAAGAAATAAAAAAAAAAGAAAGGGAAAAAATATATTTTCGACTAAGAGACAACAACACAGAATCGATCAATATTTTTATATATTCATTCGCGAGATAATATTCTTCTTTTTTTTTTTTCAACCAATAACCTATATATTGTTTTAAATAAATACAATATAATTTTTACTCTTAGGTGTTTAAAATAAAATTTAGATATATAACAAAATCACAAATAATTTATAATAGTAATTATTTGACACACAAGATACGAGTGTACGATTTTAAGTACTTAACAAAATAATGAACGGGTGGTAACTATGATACTGGTGGATTCGAAATCTAGTCGCTACTAGAAGAATTAGCTTGATCATGATTACGTATTCCCGATCAATCGAGCCTAGCTCCAAATCGGTCCATAACCATCCATTACCGTCTGCCTATGGTTTCTGTGATTAATGATCCATTCCAAAGTCCGGTAAACGCACTCGCGAATCTCCATACACACCACGAGAATGTACCTTTAATGCATTTCAATAAAACGCCGATAAACGATCCGTCTCTCGGTACTCTGTTTATCTAATGTTGCTAGCATTTCGATGATAATGATCAAAAGATATTAAAACGCTTCCTCCCCCTCCCACCCTTCCTTTTCTTTCTCTCTCTCTCTCTCTCTCCCTCTCTCTCTTCTCATTTCTCGTTTTCGATAATAATAATAATAATAATAATTAGTAATAACAATGACGGTAACAATAATAGTAATAATAATAATAATCATCATATCATTACCCATCGATATTATTATTATTATTATTATTATTATTATTATTATTACATATACCAGGATAAGAAATTTGATAAAATTAACACTATTAATTTAAATTACGGGATTCGTTTGGTAATTCAATTTGACATCGGTGATTTTTGTTACGGTAATCTGTCAATTTTGTCCCTTTTTTTTGTTTTTTTTTTCTGTGTGTGTGTCTTCTTCTATCTTTTGTTTTTACTTCGATAGATAATTGAATTTTTCTGTCGAACTGTAGATGATCGAAAAACGGGATGCTCACGGTAAACCGCAACACACTGTCGAATAGCATCGTTCTGAGTTATCCTCTCTGTTATCTATCTATCTTTCTATCTCGTTTCTCTTGCCGATATTTAACCCGGTGCAGAGACCACGAAAGAAATGGAAATGTAGTTTGCGTGCAACGTGAAAAAACGAGAAAAGAAGAAGAAGAAGAAGAAAAAGAAGGAGTTCAATGATACGTGAAAACGCGTTACGTGTTACGAGTAATTCGTAATCGAGGGAAAATGAATTTTCTTTCGATTAAATTTATTCGTTAGTTCATTTAAAGATTTATGTATATCATAAAATAACAAGAGATCTTATTTCGCGAATTTAATTTAATGTAATTTAATTTTAGTTGATATTAGAACGTGAAATTCTATGCAAAGATATTTTCGAGAGTTAGAGTCACTGTTAATTATAAATTATATATTTGTATTTGTTTTATATATATATATATATATATAAGAAATTTTACAAACTTCGCGCGTTAGAAAATAAAAATGACGATATTTGATGTTCGTATGTATACAAAAAATTTATACAAAAAATTTGTTCCTCGTGGTAAATTAATTTGATGTAAAAACAACAAGTAAGTATAAGAAGGACAAATAAAAAGGAAGGTCCCGCCCCTCCCCCCTCTTTTTCGGAGTAATAAATTATAAAAAAATCATTTACCATCTTATTAGAGGAAGGTAAATTGCTTTTTGAGTATTACCTACATCCTGTCGATATCAGTTGAGCTCGTTAATTTCTGCGGCCACATTTTCGCGTAAACGTGTATGAGTTTCGATTTCGCGGTTGGAAGCAGCTTTTCGTGATCGAGGAAAAGCGCAAAAGCTCGACGTGAGAGTATAGGGAGAGAGAGAGAGAGAGAAAGAGAGAGAGAGAGAGAGGAAAAGGGTCGCTTAAGAAGACGGCCGAACGTTCTTTTCATCTTTCTTTTCATCATTTCATCTTTTCATCATTTAATACCTTTTTACAGGTTGTAGGTTACTTCCTGAAAGTAAGCGTTCATACGTTCTTCGATATAAATTCACGTAGTCACACTGCGATGATTGTCAGTATTTTATATTACGAATTTACGTTGCTTTGAAAATTCGTTCGTTCATAAATAATATTGCTAATCGTAAAATACAAATTTCCAATATGTGCATTTAATTTTACTTACCGTTTCTCTGCTCTCTTTGTATTTTTTTTTTTTCTCGAGATACAAATATTCGATTTCGTCAAATATCACATTTTCCTTTTACGATTTAATTAAGAATTTTTCTATTATAGAGACATCGACGGAGTTCTATTTCTTTTTTATATTTTTCCATAAATATAATATAACGATATGATATAGTAAATTTTATCGTTCGAATAAATAGCCATTTCGAATATAATTATTGAATCTTAAATATGTTCATATTTCCATAAAATTTATATATATATATATAAATTTGTGTTGTTATGTTCAATAATTTATAATAAACACATATTATATATATGACGATTATTTATAATAAACACATATATATATATATGAGGATTATTTTAATGTAATACTTATTATTTTCCAATCGGTTAATACAGGTATATTTATCGTGAATGAATTAATAAAATATCAAGGGGGAATATAGCTACGCTAATCGCGTTAAAAGGTAT